CCCGTCGCTTCCTCCCTCCCCAACTACCGAGGTCCTGGCGGGTGGTGTCAGGAGGGCACCCGGAGGAGATGGCACAGCCCCAGGCTGGAGTTCCCTGGCTTTCCCATCGGCTTGGGGCATCCTCGGCGGGGGAGATGGGGCCGCGGAGGCGGCGGTGGCCAGACAAGGTGGCCCTTTGACATTTACAGAATGGCCTTTCAGAGCTGTGAAGTGTCCCCCCTCCGTCGAGAGCTGCCATATAAACAGATGCCGTCCCCCGGCACAAAGCGAGGAATGCGGCGCACAATGGCCCAATGTTCCCCACAATAAAGCCCCACTTCTTCTGCCCTCCACAAAGGCAGCTCTGAGCGGGGTGGCGGGTGTGGGGCTCAGCTGTGGTCACACTGACCCTTCCACCAAAGCATTTTGTGGATGCTGATGGCTTTGGTTTGAGCCGAGGGAGTGAGGAGGTGACACCCAAACACGTGCTACATGGGGCTTTTTCCTGCTGTCTGCTTCCCCACGTGCTGATATTCAAAATAATTGACCTAAAGGAAAATCAACATGTGCGTTATGAGGGTTCTTGGTTTGCTCGGGGTGAGTATTCAGGACAGGGGGCAATGGGCACAAACTGGAACACCAGGAGTTCCACACAAACTTAAGGAAAAACTTATTTACTGTGAGGGTGCCAGAGCCCTGGGACAGGCTGCCCAGAGAGGGTGTGGAGTCTCCTTCTCTGGAGATGTTCAAACCCACCTGGACACTTTCCTGTGCAACCTGCTGTAGGGAACCTGCTTTGGCAGGGGGGTTGGACTGGATGATCTCCTGAGGTCCCTTCCAACCCCACCATTCTGTGATTCTGTGAGTGTTAACTGTGTTGGTTTTCCATGGAAGCGTCTTGGAGCGTTTAGCTTTCAAATGTTAACTTTTCTACGTTGCCCAGAAAATGTAAGAGAGATTTATTCCCTGGCTGCTGTCAGACATCACAGAAAATCAGCACAAAAGAAACCGGGCTCGCTGGAGAAACACACCATTTTTAGTGACATCTCTTCTGAATCCTCCTAATCTTGCATCGCATCCTTTTGTCTTATTCCATCAAAGTGTGACAAAGCCTTTTCAGGAGGGTTGTTTTACAGATGCTCGTGGTTCAGCAACACGTTTTCCCTCATTCATAGGGAGCGCTGGTGCTGCTGTTAATTGTATATGTTCCAGGAACAGCTCCGGGCCCTGCTGAGATGAGTGATGGGTGTATCTGTAATCAGAGGCTGGGAGGGGATGGGGCAGGAGGCGAAGCTGGAGATGTCACTGGGTTGGGGAAGGGCTGGCTGTAGCCCTCGCTTTCTCTTTCCCAAGGCAGCATGGCCCCTCGCCGGCTCTTCTGGGGATGGTCCTGGCAAGTGGCGTGGTCCTGGGTGATGCTGTGGTGTGAGGGATGCGTGCGTGTGCTCTGTCCTTCAAGGTGAAGACAGTAAATGTATTTGGCAAAGCTCTTCTTCAAAGCTGTGGAGGGTTTTGTGTGGCTCATCCACATGGCCTGCTCTGGTTTGAGACCTATGGGAGCTCCCTCCTTCTCTGACTTTGCCCCAACATCTTGCCAGTCTCATGTTTTAAAAATAAAGGCACAAACGTTTGGTGCTGTACCATTTTGGCTGGTTCTGGCTTGGTCAGGCAGCCCCTGGGCTCTCAGTGGCAGCTGGGCATCCAGGTTTTTCTGGCAGCTGGGAAAACATTCAAAATGAATTTCTCCCTTCCCTCCTACTTGGGGGAGAAAAAAAAAGAGAAAATAAACGATTAGAGCCTGCGAAGGGTTTTCTGTTACACCATTAAACCCTGCACAGCATGTCTCCAAACAGCCCTTAAGGCTGCAGTCCTCCATCTTCCCATCCATCTTGCGTCTGTCCTGTCCTCACTAACTTAAGGATAGTTCTGTGGAGGAGAACTGAAGACCCATTGCAGATGCAACTGCACATTGTGATCTGTCTCAGATCATGATATTTTAATGCTGTGTTTTGTTGTTTGTCTTTTTTTTCTTCCTTGTGATCAGGCCTTGAGTTCATGTGCTGTCCTGTGCTGAGTGGTCCAGGGTTGGGGCATTGCCTGAGCTCCCAGGGAGAGCCTGTCCCATCAGTGTGTCCTTCCCTGACCATCAGACCTGGCAGAAAATTAACTGTGTGATGCTCTGCAGATTCAGGCCAGGCACGAGATGGGATTTCAGAGGTGTTCCCTGTCCTTTGTGCTCTGCTCCTTGGACGTTTCCAAGCAAGGTCAAAACTCTCTGCAGTTGTCTTGTTTAACAGCACCCTGGGTGATGCACGGACGAGGTTCCTCTGTTGTATGCTTGTAACAACTGTAGCTGTAAAGCTGCAGTCCTGTCTAAAATCCCACCCCGGGGAAGGTTTTGTTGCCACTAGTGGCACAGATCCCTTGGCATCCTGGGGCTGTTCCCCTTGGGTGGAGTGGCAGGGGGCTGTTGGGGGTGGAAGTGAAATCAAATTGGCTTTTGCAGATGTATTTTGGGGTGTAGATTGTTCCCCATTGCCTAATATTTTGTTTTTATTTACAACCCCCTCCCCAGTGTCTCCTGGTGTGCTGCTGCCCTGGGTGGCTGCATCCTACCCTGGGTGCTGTCCAGCCCCAGGCTATTGCCCTGCAGGCATCAAGATAGCAGCTCCTGAGGCATAACACGAAGCCCAAGGGCTGGGGGCAATTAGATGCACAAGCTCCTGCCTTGGGAGTCCCCAACCTGGTGTGTAGTCCTAACCTCCGGAGGGTCAGATCACTCGGTGTCGGATCCGAGCCTTGCACATGGTCTGCCCCTATCCCTGCCAGCCAGCTAATCACTGCCTGCTCCTTCTGCTGGGACCTCTCATGCTGGTGATGTTTTTAATCATTAGGAAATGTATATAAAGTTGATGGATGATGTGATGGTGATATACACTACCTACATGGTCTTTAAAGTAAGTATGTTCATAAAATTCTAGTAGAAACCAAGGTTGGCTGGAGACTTTTGTTACTGGAAATCTGTTTTTGTCCCAACACATCCTTCCATCAATTCTGTTTTGAGAGCTGAAAATTGGCTGGTTTTCGTGGAGTTAATAATCATCTGAAATGGAGTTGAGCAATTGATGTTGCTGCATCAAAATGTTTCCCTCCTCCCTTCCCCCTCCTTCCCCCCCACTTCCCCCAAAAAATAAATTCCTGGCTTATACTCAAAATCCAGTTCAGTTCTCACTGTGCAAGTATTAAACTGTGGGTCTTTTCTTTCAAGTTTCTGGATTTTTATGGGCACAATCGGTCTGTTAACAGGACTTCTTTTTTTTTTTTTGTGGTTTCAATGCATTTATATCATTGACCTTTGCTTTAAAAAGTGTCTGACAGTCTTTACTGAACTGGAGCTATGAAAAGGCGTGTTGTAAGGGGGCTTTATTCTATGGAAGCAATGACCACAGGCAAAGCTTTATATTTGCTGAGTGATTTAATTCTTGCACATGCAGAACTTGGCTCTGTGCCATGTGTAACATGTTGAGAAAAGGTCTGCTTGAGAGGCATTAAAACCAAACTTTCCAAAAGTGACTTTTTTTTTTTTTTTAATAGCTTGCTTTCCTGTTATTTTTAAGCTAACGAGTAAAATCAAAGGACGCTGCACCAAAATGCTGCATTGAGCTCTTGCAGAGTCACTGGGGAAATAAACCACCTTTCAAGAAATGATGCGGGAGTCAGGATGGAAGAATGCCAGCCAGGAGGAAGAGGAGGGTGTCATTAAGATAAAGGCTTGGTCAAGGGATGGGAGAGATTAAAACAGAGCACTGTAGACTCCAGGAGGAAGTCTGGGAGGGTGAAGATGGCACAGCTCTGTTCTTGGTCATGTAAAGTCCTGCTCATAGGGCACATCCCCAGAAGATGTGTTTTCAGGCTAAATATCAGATCTCCCCCCAAAATTAGTTGCTTTTCTCTGCTTGGCTCTGCCCGTCCCCTGCCCGCTTACAGGAATATCTGTCTGGTAATGGTCAGAAGCAAATAAAAACAAGCTGCTTTTTGTTTGCTCTTGTTTTAAACACTGTGACAACATTTGGATTAATGGTAGGTCTTGTGAAAAGCTCTTTAAAAGTCAAACATACTGAGCTGCTTAACAGCATCCCTTTGAATTCTGTGTCTGCCTGCTGCAATTCCAGATAATGGTCTGGAGAGCAAGGAAACATCATATTTCTTTTTCCTTTTTGTAATCGGTCCATTAAATATGCCTGAAGTTTCATATTCTGGAACTATTTAATTGTGTAACCACTTGGGCTGAGTTCCGTATTTTGGTGTGCTTTGGAGTATTTCCTCTTCCTTTGGCAAGCAAATGAACAACAGAAATACTAAATTATGTTAATTTCTAACAGAAGCAACGTCTTCCCCAAAACATTGCAATCTACCACATTTTAATTAAAACCAACACATCAATAGTGCATCAAGCTATTTGGAGCCTCAGCCTCTCTTAGTTTTAATCAACAGATTTTTCTAGGGGCTTTTAGAAGCAAATTGTGCATTGCTTGCTCTTCCCCAGGAGGAATGAGGGAGAACAATAAATCATCTTTGTGCTAGCACACCAAACCTTCAAATACTGGATTAAAAAAAGTGTATGAATAAGGTGGAGGTTATGTAGGGGAGAGCTAAGATGCCTCAACCACTGCAACTGCAAATAAATCCACATCCTGGAAGAGAGCAGCCCCAGAGAGGGGCTCTTGGAGCATCTGCTGGGGGCTGATGCATGGGGATGGCTTTGGGTCAAGGCTTTCCAGAATGAGGGATGATTTTTGGTGGTCAGCTGGAAATGCTGTTAGAGCAACTGGTTTTTCAGAAATTCAGCCTTTCTTGAGCTCCTCATCACTTTTTGGAAATTGTTGCCCAGGGGTTTCACGTCCTGCTTCCATCAGGCATTTTTGCACAGAGGAGAGGGAGTCCAAAACACAGACCATGGGTGTGTACTTTGGATGCCTCCCAGCACATCCAGATTTCACTGTTGGTTTTTATCTGTGCAGCTCTGGGAAATGCCAGTGTAAAGTTGGTGTCACGGACCTGAAGTGTGACCGGTGCAGTGATGGATACTACAGGTTTAACAAAACCACCTGCGAGCCATGCCAGTGCAACAACCACTCCAAAACCTGCGACAGCTTTACAGGTAACTTCCTTCTTGTCACCATGGTGGGTGCAGATTTCAGCTGTCCCCTCTCTCTCTGGTTTTTGGTGTTTTCATTCAGCAGACCTCCACTCTCATCCTCTTCATCTGCATCTTTATGCCTTGAGTACCCAGAATCTTTACCTTAAAACTGAAATTAAAATGCAGGGCAAGTTTGGAGCTAGTCATTGATAAAGACTGTGTTATTTATCCCAGGCTGCAGTGCAGAGCCTTTATTCTGCAGTCTCTATCGGAAATCAGTGCTCTATTGTTCTCTGCACTTACACAAACACACAACATGGGCTTTTAAGGAGCTTTTGTTTAACTGCTGTTTACCTGGAAACATATACTGTACTGGCACTGACGTAAGGTGGCTGTTATTGCCACAGATAACGTGATTAGTGCTGGAAAAAAAACGGGCAGCACGTAATTAATACTGCCCACTTTTTATAAATTTGACTTGTTCCCTTTCCTTGATTGTTTTTTTGACTGTCTCTGTCCAATACAGATGTTGATGGAGTGCAAATGTTGAAGCACCTGTGCTTGAATAGCTTATGGGAGGGCAGGGGGGAAAACTAATTGCTTTCCCATCTCCACTGAAAGGAGTGATCCCAGAAGAGCAATGTTATGTGACTGCCTGCGCAATCCCCATGTTAGCAACAAAACTCACACTTCAAAATCCAAATGCTCATCAAAACTTCCAGGCTGCAATGCAATTCTGTAACGTTTATCCAGGAGCTTAGAAAGGAGAGAGAATTTCAAAAATGTTGCAGTGTATTTTTGCCTAGCTGGCAGAGAGACAGAGCTCATCAAATATGGTCTGTCTGGGTGATTTCTGCACTGGTGTCTGTTCCCTCGTGCCCTGTGTGTTTGCAGCAGAGGAAGGGGCAGCTGCAGTGCTGACTGTGCCCAGCCAATGCCCTGATCCTGCTCGGCAGAGAGGATGCTTCTCTGGGTGTCAGGGGTAGTGGCAGGCAGCAGATCTGTGTTTTTTGAGGATGAATTCTTGAGTTGCTGACCTCCACTGCATTTGTTCCTATACTGAACTTTATCTGCTTATGTCCCACTAATACTGAAGGATCGAAGGATGAAGGATATATACCTAAAGCTGTGCGCATATCAGCTGTGTTACTGATTTGGAGCTGGGTGTGTGGGTTTTGTGAAGAAGTGAGATAATCTGCTGCTCCTTTTTTCTCCCTCAATGTTCCCCCAGCTCTTGATTAAAATAAAAAAAAACCCAACCCAACAAAACAAAACCCAGTGCAGACATTGCCTCTGGGATGGGGCTGTCAGGCAGTGCTTCTGCTGGGGCTGTCCAGCGCTGACCATGGCACTGTGAAGAAAGACTCTTTTTTTTTTGGTTAATGACCTATTGTTGATGTGACAAAAATCCCTTTTTTTTAAATTTTCCTCCATCTGCTTTATTTGCTGCTGGGAGTGGGGGGAAACCCAACAAAACCAGAACAGAGAACAGTCAATTAAAAATGAGACCTGACATCTAACAAGTAATGCAGTGCGCTCAGCCTGCTCTGGAGACTGCACTTTGTGTGACCTCCTCAGCTTTACATCAACTGTGTGTATAGTCTTTGTCAAATTTTCAAGGTTTCTTTTGCATTAATCTGTACTTTGGGCTCCCTCTGCCGGCTCTGTGTCCATCTCCATATGGCATTGCTTTGGCCAGGAGGAATATTTAAAATTACTGGGCTGGAAATTGGGCAACCAGAACTCCCCAGGTGACAGCGCTTTCCTTTGACACGACCCTTGTGCCCCATGTTGTGTCTGTGCAATGAGTTTGGTTGTTTCTTCCCAGCTTTGGGGCACTGTGAGGTCTGATCCTTCCCGAGGGTATTATCAGGATAGGAAGTGCTATTAATTATTAAGACTGTCCACAGTGATACTTGATTGCAAGCCCATGCATGCTTTGCATGGCTGAGCAACTTGCTGACTCATTGGGAACACAGCCATTTTGCAGGGTTGGTGTAGATAAATGCCAGTAATTTCCGCCAATGGGAAAGACATTGGTTCTGAAATGACCAAGACTGTATAGAAAAAGCAGGTGTGATTCCAGATTTATACCCCCATTAATGCCTGTTCAGAACAGAACAGAGCACGGTTCAAGGCACCCTTAGTGCTGATGGGGCAAATTGACCTTCCACAAGCCGGCCTGTCCCAGGCATCCCGCTGAAGCAGCTGATCGAGGTTTGCATCTAGAAAAACCAAGACCAGCAGATAATCTTCCGCTCTAACCCTGACATCTCTCCCACAAAAACCACTGGCTCGTGTCTGACAAGCTGTTGGATGAAGAGCAAACAGTGTGTGGGAGCTGACGCTGAGCAAGTGTCCTTAGTCATCGGGGTGCTGCCAGCCTCACCGCGCCGGTGAATCAGCCGCTTCCCAAAAGCAGCAGCTGCCAGGGTTTGCTTCCTGCCCTTGGCACGAGGGTGGGCTGCAAGGACACGCTGGGCTTCCTCAGGGATGCTCAGTTGCAGAGTCATGGCTGTGGAAAGAGTAGGAGCCATGCAGCGTGTTGGGCTTGCAAGGGAGCCAAACTGTTCCAATATTCATAAGAAAATCTGCTGTGGTTTTTTTTTTTTCCCAGTCAGCATTAACCTAATTCAGGATTTTTCGTGTGGTTAATGTTGATATGAGATTGTTCCATACCCCTGCAGCACTGCTAGATTAGCTCAGTGAATCTCCTGACTGTACTTCTATATGCAGTGAATAAACTGCTCTGTGCCACCCTGGTTTGTTAGAAGGTGACTATTGCTTTTTCAGAGTCTTATACATGGGATTTAATCAAATAAGCTTCCCTCGGGTCACTGCCACCTTACCTGCTGAATTACAGGATGTTCCTGTTGATGGATGGATGGGCTTTTGATAGAGGCTGTGTTTTTCTAACTAGAGAGATTTTTTTCTTCCTCTGGTCACAATAATATCAAAATGCAATTTAGAGGGCTGTTAGGACACAGCCTGTGCTAAGACACAGCATGTCAATTTTCTGATTCAGGGGCTTCCCCAGGAAGGAGAGGTGGCTCAGGTGAACCCTCAGTTCTCCTTTGTTTCTCTGGGAAGGTCAGTAATTGCTGTTGCCTTGTGCCTGTAGCAAACGTTCCTCCTGTGGTGGGGATGGAGAAGCTGGAGCCACGTGGGTGGGACAGAGCCATCTGCCCCCAGAGCAGGATGGTGGCATGTCCTTACCCCTGACCACCAGCTCCGTGGTGTAGGAAGAGGCCACAGACAAAAAGGGCAAAAGCATAAGCGTAAGTTTCAAGGGACCCCCTGTGGGAGTTGGGGATTTGAAGCATCAAGATTCTGTCTCAGTGGCACAAATGCAAACTGAAAGCCCTTCCCTTGAGGACCATTTAATATTGATATCACGTGTTTACCTGCACTGACCTGTTCACGTGGTGAGCTGTGGGTCCCTGCTGGAGCTACCTACTTTTTCACATTATGTGTGTGTGTGTGTATGTGTGGAGGGAGGACTACCACCAGAAAGTCATAAGGGGCCAGGATCATGTTTTGGCCAGAGGGCATCCAAAATCACCTGTGAGCTCTGATAATTGAGAGTGCTCCACGCAGATTCTTGCTCCAAATGTTCTGCTCCAGTTCCTACTGCTGAACAGTTGCTTGTGCACTTGTCCATTCCCCAGGCACCTGCCTGCACTGCCAGGAAAACACCGAGGGAAACCACTGTGAGTTCTGCAAGGAGGGCTTCTACAGAAGGGCTGATCCTGCCCATGCCTGCCAGCGCTGCCCGTGCTCCACTGTGGCATCGACCGGCACCTGCCGAATACGTAAGGCTTTAGTGTTGATCTGATTCCTCAGATAACAAATGCAGCTCTTCTCAATGTGTTTCAATTAAATTGCCACTCAAAGTGCATCAGGCTAGCGAGGTGCTTCATAGCCCATGAGTCTCCCATTCATGGGAACCAGGGCATCTTGCTGGAAGCAGCGCCCACCACAATGCATCCCTGGTGCTTGTGCTGCCTCTTGTGAGAGCAGCTGTGCAGTGGAAGGCATCAGAAATGCTTTGCTACAGGCTGCAGTGTGCTCTGAAGAACCTGCAAGGTTTTATAGAGAGAAACTGCTGGGTTGGTGGCAGCCAGGAGAGGTACAGGAGATGCCCAGCAGTGCCATGTAGCCATCCGTACCTCTGTGAGCCCTCCATCATGAACATCTCCCTCCCTGTGAATATTTCCATGGGACTCCAAGCAGAGATTCCCCAATCTGCCTGCTCTATTTTGATTTAACCAAGAGAAGAAGCCATAGCTGTAATAAATATATGTAAGACTTATTCTGATATTTTCCTAGTCAGTTTTGCAGTCAAGCCTCCTCTGGCTTCATATAGGTCAAAAAGTTCCTGCAGATTGCTCAGATCCCTGATAGAGTTTCAGCTGTTTTCTGAAACTGTCTGTCTGAGATGGAAATGTTCAGGAGTCATAACCTGTTTGCTTAGCAACGTGCCGAGCATGCTCTCTGCTGGCACGATGCATCAGAAACCCTCAAAGCTTTTCCTTCCCTAGAAACAGAAAATGTTGCAGTTCAAAAGTTTTATTTTCAGCTTAAAATTTGAGATTGGTTTATAGTCAGTGGCTGCTGCTTTTTGCAGTGACTTGTGGTCAGGTCCCACAGAATGAATCCCACATTGGGTGTTTCTTTGCAATGGGCTATGGCACGTACCTGTTTTCCTCTCTGTATTCTTTAGAACCTGGTGAAACTGCCCCAAGGTGTGACAAATGCAAAACTGGGTACACTGGCCTGAACTGCAACCAGTGTGACAATGGCTACTACAACTCCGACAGCATCTGTGTAAGATGTAAATGCAACGGGAACGTGGACCCAGCACAGTCACCCAGCGTGTGCAAGCCGGAGAGTGGGGAGTGCATCGGCTGCCTGTACCACACCGCTGGGTTTCATTGTGAGGAGTGTGAGGATGGCTATGTCCGAGACCCTGAGGGGATCAACTGCACCAAGAAAGGTAAAAAATGCTCCTCAAATCGGTGTCAAAGCTTGCTGCCTGGCTCAGGGGGGCACAAACTGCCTGAAGGCTGGGGAGGGAATACTGTTAATTCTTCAGATTGTCTTAGATTCATCTAGCTGGTAGTATGGAGAAAAAAAACCAGACCTTTATAAGAAAACCAAGACCTTCAGGCCTTGGAATCTGTGTTTGAGAGTTAGCTCTGTGACCACCCTGATTCCTAGATGTGTCAGGGAACATATAGTGACAAACTGGAAAACAAAAATGATTTGCAGTGTGTTTAAATGGAAGTTTTCAGATTTCTATTGCCTGCTATACTTGACCTCTTAGTGGCCAGTGAATTATCCTTATTGACTAGTCCATTCAATAGCTCTGTCTAGTTCCCTACAAAGGGTGTTTATAATAAATTCTGTCACTCCTCATACTCTGCAAACAACTAATTGGACCAAGTTTAGATACTTTTTTTTTTTTTTAATCTAAATGGGGAAGCCAAAACTCAGAGGGGTGAGATCCAAACTTGCACAGCGAGTTAACACCAGAATTTACTGGTACCTGCTCTGGGAATCTATCATCAGTCTTCAATCCACATCTGAGACACTGTATGTAGCATCTTAGATGCAAACCAGCTCTGGTACTTAGAGAGGCTGCTGTGTAGCAGAAGGACTCATAGTAAAATGAGAGAAAATGGTTCTGAAGTTGTTCCTTCAGTGGTTATCAGGAGATTGGTCCACAAGGTGGATCTCCAGCTCCATGCATGGAAACATTACCACTGTGAGGTGTTAGATAAGAGAACCCAGAGTTCAGGAAAGTATCTGGGCCCGAATTCGTCCTTGTCACCAACAGAGATTTAATTCAGAACTTCCATTAGGAGCTAATGTGGTTTTCACTCCCATGCTGCTCTCTGGAGGTGTAATCACAGAGTTGTTCTCTGCACGGGGAGATGATCAATACAAAAAAGTTGAATGCTCATTAGCTGTAACTGTACTGTTACAGGGCTGGAAATGGCAGTTTTCCATCGGGTCATCCATTATCTCCGCCTGCACAGCTCTGCCTTTGTGCAAAGAGCTACATGACCTTGCTCCATTAAATCCATATGTATGGCTTTGCTTGTATACTTGCAGTTTTCACCATTCATTTTATTTTAATAGCATTGTTACAGGCAATTCCTGATGTGGGGAGAGACTGTCCCCTTTCAGATGGACTGGGACATGCTCTTCTAGCTTTCCTGTTTCCTTGGCACTTGTTTTTTTCCCTTTCTTATTAAGCAATTAAAGAGGTGTACAGTCTCTTTCCAGTTTCTTACACACAATTTGCCTCAAAATTGATATGCTGAGGTACTGTGCATAAACTAGTTTTAGGTTAAGATTTTCATAAACCACTAGTGCATTTGAGTGGCCTGGTTTTGAGTGGCTTCTAGAGTGAAATCATCACCCACCGGATCTGCAGATGAAATTGTCTGAGACTCTGAAGAGGTTGAAAAAAGACAGCATGTTTTGTACCAACCTCTGGTATCCACAGGAACTGTTCAGAGTCTTAAACCTGACCAAGATTTTGATGCTTTCAAGGCTGATGGAGAGAATATTCAAAGGACAGGTGGGATGACCAAAGTCAGTGTTTTCAACCCCTGGGGGGATGGTGTTCCTGCTGCGATGGTGAGACATAGCAGCAAGGACTGAGTCATGCAGTGTGGCACCGTGCCACCCAACCGAGCACCACAGCCTTCCCTGAGAGCTGGCGCGTGGGCTGCTGGCACGGCCCCGGCTCCTGCCCGTGCTCATCCATCGCAGGAGGGAGCAGAAGCTTTGCAAAGACTGCATTTCAATCAAGCAGCTGGATATGACGCTCACGTCAAAGCTGCCAAAGCAGCCCATTGACTGAGCAGCTGCTGCTCTCAGGGAGCTGCTTGAGGACATCTGGAGGGCTGGCACGGCCCTGGCCAGCGGAAACAGGCAGCGCTGTATCAGGGCCCAGAGGCGACGGTCCGCGCTCAGAGCATGGCACTGTTTCACCATGACGTTACCAACAGTTCCAGGAAATGTTTTCACCCATGTCCCCACTGCCAGCACTTAGCTGATGCTGACTCACAAATAAAGCCCAGAAAAGTCCTGTTTCCGTGCTGGTGAATCAGCCATTGTCTCTCTTCTGTTTTTTTTTTTTTTCTAATTATAGCTACTGGCAGGGTTTGCCAAGAATTGAGTATTGATGAAGGAATTTGGAAAGGATGACTGAATTCCTCATGCCCTTCTCCCAAAGCTGTATCCAGGAACCATTTGCTCCTGTTGTGTTGCTTCCTACTGCAAAATTCTGCCTGGTATCACATAGAGAAATGCCTTCTGGCATTCAGAGTATCCTTATCAACCTAAGGCAGGACCTGCAGAGAATAGAGGAGCTGCTGCAGGGAGGGACTCTGAGCAGGAGCCTAAATGAGGTGTGTGATGCCCCTTCCAGAGGAGTTTTTTCCTCCATTGCCTGAACTGGGAATGTGACAGCCCAAAGTTAATTCGTGGGAGTTCCCCTGTGGGCCCGTGGCAGGAGATGTGCTGAATATTTCCTGCTCCTGTTGCCATTGGAGATGTGATGTAACAGTGCAAAATTAGTTCTTCAGAAGTTGTTTCTCCTCCTCAGTCATAATTAGTAGACATTCTCTTCAGGAGAGCTGGATCAATACAGCACGGCACCATCAGCTGTAATTGCTGCAGCTGTAAGTGGGTTTAAAATGAAGTTGCATTTCTGATAGTAGAAGGAGAAATGGAAGAGAGTGGGGGAAAAGGGTGCGGAGAGTCCTGTGGAGCAATAGGTGTAGAAAACATTTTGGTTGGTTGAGGCTTCAGCTTCTGGAGGGTTCCTGCTGCCTGGACTTGAGAATCTAAAATAGATCAGATTATTCCTGTGAAGAAAATGCTTTATTAGTTATAGCTCAGTGGGTTTGAAGAAGGTGTAATGAGTTTGCATCCTGCTTATTAGATCTCCAGTGTTACCTTGTTGCTGACTCCTAGACCTGAGAAGGGAGTTATCCCATCTCTGCTAGAAGCAAGGGAGGTTCTTCGATGTTTTGTGGCTGGGAAAAGGCTTCAGAGGAAGATGGAGCTTGTGGCACACTTGGGTAGTTCCCATGTTCTCATGTTTCGTGTGTGGACATGTGCCAGCTGAGACCAAAACAGGATCCAGACTGGCTTCTGCTGTGGTCGAATGCTTCGTAAGAACATCCACAGTGTTTTTTTGCTGTGACTTGGTTACCCTCTGCTTCTGGTTGTGCAGTCTGTGGACTTCCTTGAGATTTGTGTATGACTTCTTCATTCAAAAGCAGAACTGGGATCATTTTGTCCTTTTACATCAAGCAGAATAAATATTGAAACTTGTTGCTAAACACTGTGATGGCAGAATACTCAATGGTTAATTTTTTCATTTTTGATCTTCTTGTACAGGTAAGGCAGAAATAAAAATGTTGTGGACATAATCCTACATGTGAAAGGTTTAAGCTCCTGGAGTCTCTGTGTTCTCCCAGCCTGATTGTGCAGCCCATGCAGAAAACAAGTGGATCTCAGCCTTCTTTAGGTTCAAAGTCCAAACTCTGGCTGAGCTTGGTAGAACCCTGTTTTCAGGGGCTGAATATGAGCTGGCCTGGGTGGCTTGCTTTCATCATGAGCTCATGTATCTAACATTGAATCTTGGCTACTGCATCTATCTATCCATCACCAGATTTTTCATAGGAATGCTGCAGTCAATGAGCACTTAACACACAGAATTATTTAAAAAAAACCCAAACCAAAAAAAACCCAACTCTGGCTAACCATTTTTGTAAACTATTTTGAAAAAATACCCACTTTAACAGTGTAGACTTAATTGCCATCATAACTGTGATATAAATGTCAAATCTCTTATTTGTGTTTGTGTTTGATTCCAACTTAGCATATTTTTATTAATAATTTTTTGTTTGTTTTGTAGAAGCCACACCTGGCCCAGAAACAAGGGAGTTTACAACTTCTGCTCCAAATGTCAGCAAGGCAACATCATTTTCAACGGCAGTGATAAACAGCACGTTGTCACCAACAACTATGCAGACTATATTTCCTCTAAGCTCCTCTGACAATAGTACTTCTGCTTTTGCAGACGTGTCATGGACTCAGTTTAACATAATTATTTTGACAGTGATCATCATTGTTGTGGTCCTACTAATGGGCTTTGTGGGTGCTGTCTACATGTACCGTGAGTATCAAAATAGGAAACTTAACGCTCCTTTTTGGACCATTGAACTCAAAGAGGACAACATCAGTTTTAGCAGCTACCACGACAGCATACCCAACGCTGATGTTTCGGGGCTCTTGGAAGACGATGGGAATGAAGTGGCACCAAATGGACAGCTAACGCTGACGACTCCCATGCATAATTATAAAGCTTAGAAGAAGCAGAAGCGATCCAGTTATTCCAAAGTTGGCTTAAAAAAGTTACAGGGCTTGTTGAAGGGGTATCAGGATCCGTGCCAAGGCTCCAGGCAGAGGAATTTGCTCTTCAGATACTCTTATGCTGGGCATGTTGTAGCTTGCAGGTGAACAGAGAAAAAGTGTAGTACATCTGAATTTCAGGTAATATGGTGGAATGCATTCAGTGTCCTGTTCTCCATAAAGATCCACAGAATTCACTGTTGTTAAGGACTTGATTATGCTGATCTTAAAATGTTTTTTTTTTTGATGAAAAGATGGGGTGGAGGAAGCAATACTCCATGATTAATTAGAAGCTACTTGATTTCCAGCCAACCTAACACTTACGTCTGCATCCTTTAGTTTGAACAGTAGCTCATGAATTAACAGTGGATTTTCAGGAAACAGACCTTTGTAAAGGCTTTGTATTAGTTCCTGATAAAAATTTATTTGAAAAGGAGGACAAAAAAAAAGGGGGGAATAATTGTTCACTGTACTACCAAGAGGCAAGTAGAGGAGTTGAGCTGCACACTTGAAAAAAGTCACCATTACCAGTTTCCAGTAAGTAGGGAAACAGGAAAAAAAATAATGAAAATATTGGGGAGGAGGCTAAGCTATTCCCTTTCTGAGTATTTATACAGGGTGTTGATGCTATTAAAACATAGCAATCCATTTTTTTTTTTTCTAGAAGGAGTTAATGAACTTGTATAGTTTCTGTGCAAGGGAAGATGACAACATCTCAGGGTTGCCGTGTAAAAATAAAAGCTTAGGCTTAATACCCTACCCTGATAGAAACGGTGTGTTCTGTATATAAAATGTAATATATCTTCTTGGAATTGTATTTGTAATTATTTGTAAAAAAGACAACCAACCAACCAACCAAAAAAACCCAACAACAAAACCATGAACCCCTCTCCCTCATCTCCCCTGTTCCCCAGTCATATTTTATCATCTAGATTTTAATTGTACAGCGGTTAGTGGCGTTCTTTAAAAAGAAGATTGTTTAAAATACTGTAAATTAGATGGCAATATTGTTGGAGCTGGGACTCTGGCAAACACCGACTGCTTAAAGCTTTTCTTCTAGTGTCATTGAATAACTTTTCTTTTTTAGAAGAAAATGTGAGTGCTCCCTACTTGCATCTGTCAAATTTTCCCATTCCTTTAAATATAGAGTGAATGCCAGTGTTGCCAAGACTAGGGCCTAGTAAGTGTCCAAAAATTGGATGTACCATTCTCTTACTTGCTTTTAAATCTTTATAGAAAATGCAGATACACTGTCACGAATGCACTGAGAGCCTGATCTCCATGGCTGAACTTTTCTGAAGTGGCTGCTCGTTGCGTGAGTGGATCTCATTGCCATCTCTCCTGTGCTGACGTGGTGAAGGGGGGACTTGCCAGAGGGCTGAGCGCAGCCTCCTGGCTTTTGGAAGGGCAAAAGCAAAAATCTCGTGGATTTGGGTGGAAACAGCTTTCAGCTGAAGAGCTTGCAGGAGCCTGTCTGTGTTTCTAGGCTTAAAAGCTAAAAGTGCATCGATGCTTTCAGGAAATTTATGTAGCACAAGGTGGTGGTGGGGAATCAGCTGTCAAAAAAACCCTACAGGGTACTTTTAGGTTTTCCTGATTCCCCTGATTTTTGTGAGAGGCTGGTGGACTGTTCACAGAGGGAGAACAGCACAGGGAGGTGGCACCTTGGGCCTCCCTGCTTAATACCTGCAGCATGTGCATCCCTCGAGGCAGGCACCCTGCCCTCCCTGAGCTGGGGACCTGCCAGGTCTGACCCAGGAAAATCAATACCACTACATTTAAGCAGGGTGTGAAACAAATATTTCACCTAACTGATGACCAACCTCAGAACTAAAGCTGCGTTGCTGTGCGTGTGATGCTGAGGATAAATGAAGTACCTGCTAAAGGTCAGCAGGAGCTGACTGATGCATCCTCAGAGCCAGGCAAAAGTAAGTCTTTCTCAAGATGAGAAATGGTAGGAAGAATGTGGTGATTATTTATTTGCTTTCTGGTGCTGCATGGAGGCTTTTCTTATCACTGGAGACTTTGGGGGGTGGGGAGAAGGAATAGGTGCTTTAAACACATGCACAAAAATGCCATTTCTGCCTCAAAAACTTGCTGCCTGATTTAAAGATGACACATGGCAAGAAGGAAGATAGTTGAGGATCACCAAGGGAAATGGTGAGGGCAAAATGTGATATTGCATACAGGCCTGAGCCGATGGAAAACTCCCGTTGCCTGCTATGGGCCTGGGTGAGATCCCATAGTTTAGGTAATAAATTTGGCTGATGTCATTCAGAACAGTGTTACTTTTAGTTATAAAACGGGGGAGGACTGGAGGAGAAAATCTGAATATTGCTAATCCTCAAGTTACTCATCAAGCTTTTAAAGAGCAGAGTGGTGACAAAATAGAAAATGTCCTAAAAATTACAATGATGTAGCAGTGCTGATTTAGCGATACACTTGCACTTGGTCACTTCATAGGGTGGGGAAGGGAATTTAGGAAGTGTTAGCTTCTGGGACTAGTGCTGACAGGGGAAGTGAAGGACACATTGCTCACTTTAATGTTTCTGATGTATTTTAGTAGATCTTTTCATCATTGCCACAAAACATCTCTTCCTCAGATTTTGGTATGACTATAGGCTACTTTGTAACAGGAACAGGCTTTGATTTCTCTCTCACTGTAGAAATAATGAGAAAAATCATCTGCAAAACCAGAGTGTGCCACAGGACGTGTTTGCTTCTGACCTCCACACTACTCTAAAAGCTTTGTGCTTCAGCCTTGGGCTTGAAAAGAGGAGGAGGTCAGGATGCCTTAGAGTCAGTCTGCAAGGGAGGGTGGTACAGCCATGCTGTTGTCTGTGGTTGCACATCTGGATGAAGGGATCTAGACAGCCCCTCCAGATGTGATAGGAAGCTTGGTTGGGCAGGGGGGACCTGGCTGCCCAGGTTTGGACAGCAGAGGAAAGCACAGGATGTTCTTTAGCAGGGACTGCAGCACAGCAAGGATGTGGCACTGGGACAATGATTGTCAGATGGCAAAATGACTCATTAGGAAGATACCAGCCATCTCCAGCTACCAGGCCCTTGGCACAGAGGAACAACATCCATACAGGGAGATCAATGCCTCGGCAAAGAAAGAATAAACAGCTTTGTGTTTGACTTTGGTGATGGGAGTTTAGATTTTCCTTGCTCTCTCCATCGATCATGCAGCTGTCCCCTGGGCACCACAGGGGAAGAAGAAGCTGCTGAGTTTGTTATATCTCCAATCAGCTTAAGTTGGCATTGTATTTTGAGGGGAGGCAGAGCTAAAACATCTGTGCCAGGGTACTGAAAGCCACCAGGACCTGCTAGGTGTTATAACTTGTCATGAAGCTTCCCAGATGTCGAGGCTTGCCCTACACCACATTGGAGTATGGGCAGGTAAACCAGAAATGGACATTCAGAGCTGCATTGAGGCCAAACTCAGAAGCTAGCAAGACAAGGGGAAGGCATCTGGGTGACTTCTAGGGCTGATATAGCAATACAGATACATGTAGCTTTCCTGAAGGGCCACCATGCATCACCTTCTAACTAGGCATGCTGCTGTCTGGCTGCAGTGGTGTGGCTGTCATGGAGAAAGGCAGTTGATGGCCTGGTATGGTAGCTGTAGAGCATACAGAAGGTACAACAAGGCAGGTGAGGGCTGGAAGGTGGGAGATCAGCTCTCAAGGGATGATCCTCAGGGTTGTGAGGACCCTGTGGACCCAGCTGGTCTGGATGGAGTGAGTTCAATTCCACAGTCAAGTAAATGAAGGCAAGAGGATATAATAGAGCAGTTAAAAGGCAAAAAGCAAAGAGGTGTCAAAGGCACGGGGCAGCCCGGATGGCTCACACCTTAGGAGAGTATTTGGAAAGCACAGAGTGCAACAGACATGCAAAAATGTGATTGGGTTAACGTGAAGAGATGATCTCAAATCTTATGAACCACTGTAGCTAGAAATAACTGTGTGGAGCGGTAGCCCTGGGGAGATGTCAGGAGATGTCATCCATTGGAATGATAATTCCCTTGGACCAGGCTGAACAAACTTAGCACATTGGAAGAGGAGGGGATGTATCTGGCATCCTTCAGGTATCCTGGGCCAGTTAACCACTGCTAGACAGCATCTGTATCTCAAATGTTACATGCAATGTAAATGTGGCAGAAAGTTTGCACAGTCTCCTTTAAATAAAGGATATGAGATTGAATCCTAAAAATACATTTCTCTTTAAAGTCAAATTTTAAAATGAGCTCCCACAGGACTCTGCTCTTCATGTGTCAGAGGGATGGATTAAAATAAGAAAAATGTGGGCCTTAAAAGTTGTACTTGCTCCCAACTGAAACCCATCAGTCTTACTACACATCCAAATAAGGCGTCTCCTAAGCATATGCTATGCTTACAAATGCATTTCTAAAAAAAAAAAAAAGTGTATGATTTGAATATATGTCAGAATTTATACAGAAGAATGTTATTTAAAATGAGTAAAAATAAATGTATATAATTTGTATCTATGCCACTTGGATTTTTGCATTTGTTTTTTGTTTATTACAACCCAAAGGATTGAATCTGATCTCATCCTTGTAATGCCATTTGTTCCAAGAGAATTATTCCTTCATTATACCCCTGTATGTGAGATGAGGACCATGGCACAAAAGTGGTTTTTAACATCAGATATTCATAAGTACAGTTGACATTCTGTGTCAGATAATCCATCTGAAAAATGAGCCCTATGATCTCTTGTGTCTGTTTATTAACCATTCCAGCTTTCAGGCACTTTCATTAACATGTTTGGTAGCTCGACAGTCAATGCCTATTTCCCCATTATTGTCTGTAATATTCACGTAGACATATTTTGTCAGAGATTTATGCAGTCATTAAAAATGAAACCTACAGAGCAAAGCTAGAAATCGGAAG